TCTGGCAATAATGAATCAGTTACTTCTGTTAGGTCACTAAAAGTCAAGTATCGCCTCATTGGAGCTACTTTCAAGGAGCCCCCCAGAGTCAGAAAATGATAAGGCTGAAAGGAGGGTGAGAGTCACCAAGTCTCAGTCTACAGCTGACAGAAGGATCCCCAGTAGGGGTGATTCTCTCTCTGAAATCAATAAAAATATATTTAAATTGTTTAAAAAAAATATGAACACATCTTTCCTTCTGACAATAATGAACCAGTTACTTCTGTTAGGTCACTAAAAGTCAAGTATCGCCTCATTGGAGCTACTTTCAAGGAGCCCCCCAGAGTCAGAAAATGATAAGGCTGAAAGGAGGGTGAGAGTCACCAAGTCTCAGTCTACAGCTGACAGAAGTAAAATCCAGAGAACTCTAGTGACTTGGCCAAGAACACACAACTCTTCTTTCTTTTTTTTAATCCTCACCGGAGGATATTTTTTCCCATTGATTTTTAGAGAGAGTGGAAGGAGGAGAGGGAGAGAGAAACATGGATGTGAGAGAGACACATTGATTGGTTGGCTCCCCCATGTGGCATGTGGCCCCACGAGATTGAACTTGCAACCCAGGTATGTGCTCTTGACTGGGAATCCTACCCACCTCCCTTTGGTGCTCTGGCCAACTCTCTAACCACTGAGCCATACCAGCAAGACAATCACACTCTTTATCTTCCTATTTATTATTTCTCTTTTGACCTTAGAAGTCCTAGTGATGGCAGTAGGAGAGAAGTCTCAAGAGATGTCTGCTGAAAGCTTGAGGATGTTTTTGAGGGTCTTCTAAAGAAAAACACACCCAACTTTTCCACCCCCGTCACTCATCCCCAGTCCCTACCTCGTTCCACACCCAACCAGGCTGAGCTATGACTGGGCGACTGATGACATAGTCCCTCCATTTTTTCTTTAGTTGGCCCCAATTCTTTCAAAATATCTGTGAGCTGAAGCAGGGAGGCACAGTGGATTAAGGCTAGATTCTTAGCTTACACTTCCCACCTCTCTTCAGACACCTCCTCTTTGCCTCTGAGGTACAGACCAGGAAGAAGGAGGGAACTGGCCTTTTCCCAGATGGTCCCCACCATCACTTTAGAGGCTCACTCCCTTGACTCTGCCTCGTCTGTGCATCATCAACAAAGTTTAACTCCTGGCGGGAAGGATCAAACTTAGCGCAAGAAGGTTTCCCAGCTGCAAGGGTGGTTTGGCACCACCAAAGGGTTGATTGCCAGTTGGAGCAGTGTCACCATCTGGTCATGAGGGAACTGGTTGGCTGTATCTGGGCTTCACAACAGCTTCTTCGGGGGTGGGGCGGGGGGGCGTTGAAGATGATAGAGGAGAGGAAGAAGATGGTCGGTCTGTGCTTCCCATAAAGGTTCCAATGATTCATTTAACTTTGGTAGAAAGCAGACACTAGGGTGGCAGGAGGCAGGGAGTGAGCAGGGAGTTCTGAACTGTTTACAATAAGGCAAATGTCCTCTGGTGTTTTTCTGTGGACAACATGTGCAGCCCGTCTTGAGACAGACAGCATGCTCCCCCCACGTGGTCAATAAGTGCACAGTTCAAGGTTCTGAAGCTGAACTTTCTCACCAGGCTGGAGATAAGTCAGCCATTTTCACAGGCTAACAATCATTAATCCGCCTCTCCCTTCACCTGCTTTCCCCGACGTAGTTTTGTAAAAAAAAATAAAAAAAAAAATGAGCAGGGTCACTCACTGAAAAGGTGACAGCAGTTGATCCAGCCAGTTTCTGCTATCTACCCCTGAACAGCTTCCCCATTGACCACGTGGTGGGGGGAGAGGAGCACAAAAAAAGAAATCAATAAAATAAAAAACCGTACATCTTGGAGTTTGGACTGTAACCCTGCAAGGAAATCTCCCCCACTGCCCAGACAAAGCCTTGGCTTGAAGCTGGGTTTTGTATCCTTGATACAATGTGCAGACGAGCCCCATTCTAGTGATCATAGCTGAGCAAAAAGGCAGCTCCTCGCTCCATGGAACCCAGCGCCCCCGCCAGAATAGGTTTTGACTTCAGGGAAAGTAGGAATGTCTTACTGGTAATAAAAGCAATTTTTGGATGAGGTGTGTGGCAAATTATGACTCCTTCCCCTCTTTGCTTCCCTGTTAGCAAATAAACTGGCCTGAGTGAATGAGTCAACCTTGCTCTAGGAGGAGACGGTGCCAGGACACGGGAACCAGCTGCACTTACTTAGCAGCAGGCCAGGCTGTTCTCTCTGGCACCCTTCCTCCATGTGCTTCCCAAACCAAGATCCCTAAGCCTCTGGATTTCTGTTTGTGGACAACGTGCCCGAGGAGTGCCCAACTAGTGCTCCTGTTTAGGGGGCCCATAGAACTTTCCATCCTCGTCGCTTCCCAGACTCGGCTGGTCGTTTTCCCAGGGGCCGTCAATACGTCTCGAGTCCTCTCTGCCCAGGACAAAATCGTAGGGAACTCACTGATATTTGTACATATGAGTTCAGTTTCGACCTAAGGATCCCCCAATTGACACAGTGAGTTGTGTAAATAATCTAACTCCCCTGCCCCACTAGAGTGTCCAGGTCCCAGAGGACAACCAAGATTTAATTTGCAATTTCTTTTTTGTTTGTTTGTTTTTGTTAATCCTCACCTGAGGATATTTATCCATTGATTTTTTTAGAGAGAGTGGAAGGAAGAGGGAGAGAGAGAGAGAGAGAGAAACATCAATGTGCGAGAGACACACTGATTGGTTGCCTCCCACAAGGACCCTGACCATGGCTGGGGATTGAGCCTGCCACCGAGGTACATGCCCTTGACAGGAATTGAACCCGGGACCCTTCAGTCTGGGTCTGTTCACTAAGCGAAACCAGCTAGGGCTCACTTGCAATTTCTTATAGAGCCAAGCATGGGGCTTTGCTCAGGAAATGTTTATTGAATTAAACTGGAGAACTTCTTGAAAGGGAAGATGACAGGAGTTAGAAGGAGAGGATAGAATCCCCTCTCTGGAGAGAGTTCTTTAAGTGAGTAAATTCTCATTGAAACCTCCAACAACTCAACTACTTCATCCCCATGATTCACCTCAAAATACCCACAAGTCCTCTGAGCATTTGAGGACTCTGCCATTTCTCCCTGCAGTCAGCTTCCCGGCAGCCTTGGGTCTTTAGGGCCTCACTTCTTTCTGTACAAGATAAAAACTTGCTGGAGGCAGCAGGAAGGGGCTGGAAGTTAGAAAGATAGACTAGCAAAGAGTCTCATGATGATATACAAGTGCTCTGACCAAGAGGTACTTCCACCAGGTGGGCGGCCTGCCCGCGGGACTCCTCCTCTACCCTGGGAGCAGATATCAGCTCCATCCCCCTCCTTATCAACACGAGCATTCTCCCTGAGTTTCCTCCAGAAGATAGGGCCCTCCCCTGGCCTCCCCATATGCTGAGAGAACCCTGCCTGGCTCAGAGATTCCGGCTGCTAGCAGCCCTGTGGAGAACCAGATAGCGGCCTTTGAATATTTTGTCAGACGGTCTGTCCTATTTGCCCTCAACTCACCTCACACCATAGAAACTTCAGTCCCCGGGGATCACAACAGTGGTTACTCAATACTTTCGAGAAAGGCTTATCTGGGTGGAGGGAAGCTTTCCAGTGGGGCCCACTACCTGCGGCCTAGCATTGCTGACATTCCAGAACACCCTTCCCCACAACACTGCCAAGTACATGCTCCATTTGCAGCCCACCCACAGCCCCCCATTATCTCCCCAGACCAGGCATGGTAGGATAGGGTTGCTTGGACCTGCAGAGACAATGTAGTCAAGGGCAGCTGGGGTCTGCTGGAGGTGGGTGGGAGCCCATGGAGGGTGGGGATAAGATGCCAGACCATACTTCCTGGATGATGTTTTCATCATTTCCAGCATGGTAGGGATACCTCTTGGTCAGAGCAATTGTATGTAGACACCTTTGCTACAGACTCATTAGCTCTGAGTTCCTTTTCCCTGTCCCCAACCTACCCCTGACAAGGGAATATGGACTTACTGGTGGGAAATTCAAGTGAATATTTTAAAGTTTTATTCCCACTACCTCCTATCCTTGAAAAATGCCTCCGGTCACCGCCTGATTCAGCCCTTGCTTCCTTCAGAGTTCGAACTGACCTAGGGTGAGGTTTTGGTCTCTGCACTGCTGCAGGGCGATTTCTGCTTGTGCAGGGGAGGAAGGCAGCATTGCCTCTCACGCCTGGGCATCTGTTACTTTTATTTATTCCTTGTCTATATCCATGGCTGTAGTAAGAATGGATTGACTTCCTTGTGAACATAAATATCTCCAAGTACAAATGGAAGATCAAGCTACAGAAGCCCTTTCCAGGGTCCCCAGTCACCAATTTGTTGGTGTTATTTAGAACTATATATGAATCATATTGTTTTTGTGTGAACACACATTCATTTTATTGCTTTCACTTATGTGTTAAAACCCCAAAGGCCCAAACTTTAAGGACATTAAATGAATGAATTGATCGGGCATTCAAAGGTGATTATTTTCTGGCCCTGAGCTGTAGAGCCACATGGGAAGAGGATTTGAGCTCCCAAACCAGAGGCATTTCCTAGACCCTAATGCAGTTAAGAAAGGGCCAGCAAGGTGACAGTACCCAGTACAATAAAATGAACTACCTTCTAAATTAATAACTTAAAACCTGAATCACTAGGACTTGAAGACTTTTTCTTTGTTCCCAAATAAGCACAGTTGCAGACAGGAAATCAGGCATCTTTGCAAGAACCATAGTGATTTAGACTCTGTCCCGTGTCTCTGGCTGGGTTTCAGAGCCAGGAGGGCAGCCCCTGGCACTGTCGAGCAGCATGCCAAAGTTAATAATTGGCCCCGCAGAGCACATGGCCGATCAGGCTGTTTTTGTGTGCCTGGTTTTCTATTTTACGTAAATCACCCTGAACATGTTTGCATCAACCTACTGATGATGCACCTTTGATCAATAGATTTTAGACAAAAGTGTTTTTTGAGTCCAAAGATCAGGGCTGGGTTGACCTGCAGGCTGGTTACAGGGTGTATAAAACGGGCAAGACGCAGGCTGATAGCAGAGTTATCACCACCAAGTCTGCAAGGGCTCAGCTGACGGCTTCCTGAGGGGCCAGGGAGTGAGCATGGAGGAAGGCATGAACGTCCTTCATGACTTTGGGATCCAGTCCACACACTACCTCCAGGTGAATTACCAGGACTCCCAGGATTGGTTCATCCTGGTCTCTGTGATCGCAGACCTCTGGAATGCCTTCTATGTCCTCTTCCCCATCTGGTTCCATGTTCGAGAAGCTGTGGGCATCCAACTCCTCTGGGTAGCTGTGATTGGAGACTGGCTCAACCTCATCTTTAAGTGGTGAGTAAGAGCCAGGCAGAGAGGAGATCGGCAAGGAAGGAGGCTGGCATTCTCTCTGGAAATGTCTGTCCATCAGAAGTTGCCTTCTCCATGCAATTCAGGAAGCCACAGGTTCCTCCCCTCCTGACTCTCCATCCGCTACATAAAGAGAGAAGACAGAGAAAGCCCTGTCAGTGAGTTGAAGATACAGGAAAGGCTATTTCTATGGACGGAAGGCCAGCTGGACTTAGTGAAAAGTCTGGATTGTAGGCTATAAGCAAAGAAACACAGTTTTACTACTTGCAGCAGAATAGGCAACATGCAGGTAGATGCATGACAGGAGAAAAATGATGCATGAAAAAAGGAATCATACAGATAATTTAAAAACCTGTCGCGTGGAGCGATGAGGAGGAATCCAGAGAACCGGGCTTCATCCAGGTTTTGTTCAGCCACCTACCAGCTGCATGTCCTGGGCAAGTCATAGCAACTCTCTGAGTTTCTGTTTTATAATCTGTAAACTTAGGTTATCTCTGGGACCTTATAATAATTATAGTTAACAGTTATCAAACATTTAGTATGTGCCAGGCCATGTGTCGAATGTTTTTCTGGAGGTGGTTACTATGTGACAGATGAAGAGAAGGTGCCTACCAGTGTTCGGCAAACTGCGGCTCTCGAGCCACATGAGGCTCTTTGGCCCCTTCAGTGTGGCTCTTCCTAAGCCTTAGGAGGACCCTAATTAAGTTAATAACAATGTACCTACCTATATAGTTTAAGTTTTAAAAATTTGGCTCTCAAAAGAAATTTCAATCATTGTACTGTTGATGTTTGGCTCTGTTGACTAATGAGTTTGCGGACCACTGGCCTAGACCAACATGGGTAGTAAATGTCAGAGGCAGGATTGACACTCAGGCAGGCTGGCTTCAGGGGCAAGGCTCTTAAGAACCATGGAATATCCAATGCTGATTAACTGACTCTTTCGGGGAAAGGTGGGAGGTGGAAGAATCCCGATTTTAACATTTGCCAAATTCTACTGTTTATATATCCCCATTATAGCCACTTTCAAGCTACGGATGGGTGTGACTTGCAAAAATCCTGAATATTTTATAATTGTTAGCCAGCACCAGCTGACTTTAGCATATTACTGGTTTGGCTTCTCTTTTGTCATCTAGAAAATGAAGAGTTGGACGAGCTTCCCTCTAAGCCAGTGATTCTCAACCTTCTGGCCCTTTAAATACAGTTCCTCATGTTGTGACTCAACCATAAAATTATTTTCGTTGCTACTTCATAACTGTAATGTTGCTTCTGTTATGAATCATCATGTAAATATCTGAGATGCAGGATGGTCTTAGGCGACCCCTGTGAAAGGGTCATTTGACTGCCAAAGGGGTCGCGACCCACAGGTTGAGAACCACTGCTCTAAGCCCTTTACCATCTCTAAAGCTTTCTATGACTACTATCAGACGATTCTTACGTCTCTTTCAGCTCTAATAGTCTCTGGCCACAAACAGTAAAAGTCCTTTAGAATAGAAAAAAAAAGATTATTGGGCTCAGAAGCCCAAGGGATTCTGAAATTTCTATTGAAAAATCTAAGTGTTATCTGTAACATCCCCTATTAAAGAGCATGACCCTAAGCAGTAAAAACATAAATGGTTATTCCAAATATCTGATCTCAATTAAAGAGTGATGGATTTTCTCTGAATTATGGAGGTGAGAGTGGTTGTCCCTGATTTGGGTGAGCAATCACTATTCCACCCCCACAGGGAAAAGGAGGCCTCCAGCCGGCCCTCTGACACCTGTTTCCACAATAAAAGATCTAAGCCTTTTAAAAGGGAAGTGGCTTGGCCCTGGCCAGTGGGGCACAGTTGGCTGAAGCATCATCCCACGCACCGAAGGGTCACAGGTTGGATCCCAGTCGGGTGCACAAGGAAAGCAACGGGTGGATGTTTCTCCCTCACACCGATGTTTC